GACACGTGACCATCGAAGATAATCAATCCTTTGTCTTGATTGAGGTTTATGAATGTGAGAGATCAAGAGCCAGTAATAATAATTTGTTAGGTTTTTTACTCTTTCTCCTCGCGACCATTCGTAGATATTTGTTTTGATTTAGATGAAAATGGAATCCTAACTGTTTCAGCTGTTGAGAAAATTATTGGCAACAGGTATGAGATTAGCATAACCAATAATAAAGAAAGTCTCTCAACTAATAAAATTAAAAGAATGATTCAAGAAGCTAAGGATTATGAGGCTGAAGACAAAAAGTTTCTTAAGAAGACAAAAGCAATAAATGGGTTGGATGAATATGAAGAATGTTTTGAAGAACAACAATATCAGTTTAAAGTTTAAAGCTTTGCTCACAAGAAAGGAAAGAGATCGATCCTTTATATGTGTGAGTAAAGCTTTGAACTGATATTTTTATATATTTTTAAATTTAAATACAGTTTAACCAGTCATTACTATCAACCAAATCCATCTAAAGTAACCGTCGTATTTTTACACCAAAAATATATAAAAAAGTTAAAACAAGAAATTATGACAAAAGAGCATTCCAATAAAATAAAAGAGAAGGTCAAAAGATGAAAAATAAGAAATCGTTTACAACAAATATATAAAATTAAATAAAATCAATTGATAATTCTAAACAAAAAAAGGTATAGGTATCGGCTAATGATATTTTATTGATACAACCCAAGAATACTAGTCAAACTGACACCAATAGTTCATAAAATTAGAAAATTACACTTAAATAATTATGTTGTGACAAGGAGACAAAATTATTTAAATTAAGACTTTGCCACCCAAAAAAATTCTTGAATATATCCATAACCACAATTATGAGAAATTGTAGCGATGAACATAGTAAATAAACTTGAGAAACAATAGTAAATATTTCAAATATATAAATTATTTTTTTAAAGTACATATATTTGCATAATATTTATGAATATATATATATATATGTATATATATATATATATATATTTAAAAAGTATAAAATTATGATTAATATTTTTCTACTATTATTGTTAATTTATTTTATCTTTTAATTCTCTAACAATTATCCAAACATAAATAATTTTTTAAATATAAATATAAATATATAAATGTAATATATAATGTATTAAAATTTTAAAAATACCAAAAAAAATAAAATTTAATTAAAGTCTCTCTTTTTTTTCTATTTGATTTCTATTCATTATTTTATATATTATTATATATAATATAAAGATTATATATATATAATTATATTTTTTATTATTTTCTACTATATATATATATTGCTTTCTTCAACAGTTTCTAGTCTTTAGCGGATTAGACTCACAATTTATGCGTTGTATCGTCCTAATGCTAAAAATCTACCTATGATCTCATACAAGCTTTCTATCGTCAATGGTATTACAAGTTTCATCAAGTTGTTAATGATCTTGAGATAAGTAATACTAAAAAATAAGTTTAGTCACAAAATCTGTCGTAAATAAATTAGTAACAACTTTTTTGACAAAAATTCGTCGCAAAATTGCTTAGTGAAAACAATCTTTGGGTTTTTTTGAACTTTCTGGATTTCCTCTGCTCCTCGGTGTCATTCTTTCCATGTTCACACACAAGATGAATGAGTGTCTTTTTTATTAGATTTGTATCCATCGGGACTGACAGACTCAAACTCGCAGCTTTCGCCATGACAAGGCAGTGCTCTGACCAATTGAACTACACAGAGAAAGAAGCGTGCATACAGATTCTTATGATTTCATTCAAACCTTTTTTTTTTTATTTTAGATTCGAATCGTTATGCTGTAACTGAAAGAGGCGGACTATAGTATATATTGATATTCATATAGATATGCACTTTAATTAAATTGACACAGATTACTCATAATAGGTTCGTTATTTGACAAGTTATTAAAAAATGAATCAATGAAAAGAGAAAAATGTCTTTTTTTTTCAAATCTTTTACTAAGACTTGAGAAAACTACTAAAAACAAGAACGAGATCACCCTAAGCAATGACAAAGAAAGACTCTCAACTCATGAAATTGAAAGAATGATTAAAGAAGTTAAGAATTACTAGGCTGAAGACAAGAAGTTCCTTGATAAGGCTAAAACAATGAATGCGTTGGATGATTACATTTACAAGAATGAAGAATGCCGTGAAGAACAAGCGAAAAAGAGAATTCAGAGTAGAGAGAAAGACAGTTCGAACTCAAGAAAAGAAAGAAGCTGAATATACTTCATTGATTGAAAGAATGAAAAATACTTCTTACAAGGTCTATGGTGACACCTATATATATATATACATGCATCCAAAGGACCTGACTAATAACAAACTGACTAATAGATAAAGCTAACTAACAAACTGACTAAAAAGAAAAGAAAAGAAAAATAGAAGCTTAATTATTGTCCGGTATTAGCCCCCTGCAAGCTGGAGAATATATATCAATCATTCCCAGCTTGGACAAAATGGCATGAAAGCTGGTATAAGCAAGAGGTTTGGTAAGAAAGTCAGCCAACTGGTTTAAAGAAGATACAGGCAGAAGCTTAATTAAACCTGAGAGGAGTTTTTCCCGGACAATATGGCAGTCGATCTCAATATGTTTAGTCCGTTCATGGAAGGAATCATTATGAGCTATGTGTATTGCAGACTGGTTATCGAAGAAAAGATTGCAAGGAGTATTTGGTAAGCTGTGAAGATCTTTCAAAAGGTGGTGAATCCACTGTATCTCGCAAACAGTGGAGGCTAAAGCTCTATATTCAGCCTCAGATGATGATTTGGATATAGTGGTTTGCTTTTTGGTCTTCCAAGATACTAGAGAAGAACCAAAGTAGATGCAGAATCCGGTTATAGATCGCCTAGAATCAATGCATCTTCCCCAATCTGAGTCACTGAATGCATGAAGCTTGAAGTCTGATTTCGACGGGAAGAATAGCCCTTTTCCTGGTGAAGCTTTGATGTACCTGAGGATGCGATTAGCAGTTTGAAGATGTATATCAGTAGGTCTGTCCAGGAATTGACTTAGCTGCTGGACAGAATAGGATATATCTGGTCGAGTAGAGGTTAAGTACAAAAGTCTACCAATGAGTCTTCTGTAAGAAAAAATATCAGATAGAGGATTTCCAATGTCTTTGGACAACTGAATAGAGGGATCCATGGGAGTTTTTGCTGGCTTTGAGGCCAAAAGACCAGCATCAGATAAGAGTTCCAAAGCATACTTTCTTTGGTTTAATGAAATTCCCTTTAAAGATCTGGCAATTTCAAGTCCAAGGAAGAATTTAAGATCTCCAATGTCTTTGATGCGAAATTGTTTGTGTAAGAAATCTTTGACGTGATTAATTTCAGCAAGGTTACTTCCCGTGAGAACGATATCATCAACATACACTAATAGAGCAGTGAAATCGGTTGAAGTGTACTTAGTATAAAGTGTGTAATCAGAAAAGCATTGAACGAAATTCAGGGATTGGAGAGCCTTGTGAAGAGTGTTAAACCACTGTCTGCTTGCTTACTTCAGCCCATACAGCAATTTCTTGAGAAGACAGACTTGATTTGGTTTTGGAGAAGAGAGTCCTTGAGGAAGAGTCATATACACTTCTTCATCTAAATGTCCATGAAGAAATACATTGTCAATGTCCAATTGATGTAGGTGCCAGTGCTTGGCTGCTGCAAGTGAAAGGATTAGCCTGAGTGTAGTCATCCTTGCTACCGGTGAAAAAGTATCCAAGAAATTAATTCCTTCCACTTGTGTATACCCTTTTGCTACGAGTCGGGCCTTATATCTATCAACAGTTCCATCTGGCTTGTGCTTGAGCTTGTAAACCCACTTGCATCCTATAGGGATTTTTCCTTTTGGTAGATCAACAAGAATCCACGTATTGTTTCTCTGTAGGGCAGCAATTTCTTCTTGCATGGCTTTCTTCCAATTTTCATCTTTAACAGCTTGGGAGTAATTTCTCGGCTCCGTGATAGTGGATATGTGTGCAACAAAATTCTGATATTTAGGAGGCAACCTGTTATAAGATATTACACAGGAAAGAGGATAAGTAACAGAGGACAATTGTTTTTCAGAGTCAGAAAGAAGCTTCACTGATGATGTAGATAAACTGCAGTGGTAATCTTGCAAGTAGGTAGGAGCCCTCCTTGTTCTGGCGGACTGTCACCCAGGCTGAGCTTGATTTAGGTTGTGATTAGGTGCTTCATTCTGACTCTGGACAGTAGATGTGATCATTCCATTTGGCTCGTTGACGATTGGAGTATAATCAATGTTGTGCTCTTGTGGTTTTCTAGATTGACTGATATCGTGGTTGTCCTATTGACTAGAACAGTAGGGAAAAACATGTTCATGAAACACCACATTTCTGGAAATGAAGATCTCTCTATTCTTGAGATCAAAGAGGACAAATCCTTTCGTTCCTTGTTTAAAACCTATAAAAACACATCTCCTTGCACGAGGATCAAGTTTGGTTCTGTTGTTAGTGAGAGTAGAAGCAAAACACAGTGAATCAAAGACCCTTAACATGGAAAAATCGGGAGTAGCAAAATGCAAGACTTCATAGGGACTTTTATCCCTGAGTACAAGTGTAGGAATCCTGTTGATAAGATAAGCTGAGTGCCCAACTGCATAAGCACTTAGGCAGATTGGCTTGGAAGAGAAGAGCCCTTGTTACATTGAGAAGGTGTTAGTGCTTCCTTTCAACTATAGCATTTTGTTGAGGAGTTTCAACACACGATGTTTGATGAATAACTCCTTTAGCAGCATAGAATTGTTCCATATTAAATTCAGGACCATTATCAGTTCTAATTACCTTGATTTTGGTATTAAACTGGTTTTCTACTAAAGCAAAAAAATTTTGGGTTAAACTTCTAGCTTCGTGTTTACCTTTCAACAGATAAACCCATGTGTACCTTGAAAAATCATCAATAACAGTAAGAAAATAAACATGACCATGAATAGAACTAGTAGAGAGAGGCCCCCAAATGTCAACATGAATCAAATCAAAAATTTTATTAGATTTAGTTTCACTCAGAGTATATGGCAATTTCCTTTGTTTAGCAAAATGACATATATCACAATCAAAGTGTCTATTATTACTGATGAAAGGGAATTGTTTCTGCAAAACATTCAATCTATCCAAAGAAAGATGGCCTAACCTATAGTGCCATAGATTTTTATTAACAGCAACCAAATTACAGTTATCAGTGTCTGTATGAAGCATGGAAATATAAGAATGAGTGTTTGTAGGATCCTTCAAGAGGTAAAGCCCATCTCTAATCTCAGTTGTACCAATCATCTTGCAGGTACTGGAACTCTGAATCCAGCAACAAGAACCAGAAAAAATTAGTTTGCAATTTAAAATAGTAGTCAGTCTGGATATAGAAATAAGATTGTATTGAAAATTAGGTAAATAGAAAACATCTGTTAAGTAAAGAAAGGGAGAAAAATGTATGGTTCCAGAAAGACTAGTTACAACAGAATTTCCATTCGGAAGATTCACACGCACAGGTTTAATATACTTGTAAGAAGTAAAAAAGGATAAAGAAAAGCATATGTGATCTGTAGCACCCGTATCTAAAATCCACTTATCTTTAAATGCTTTACCATTATGAGTAGGAACGGTGCTATGTTGTTGTACTGTGGACAGATTCACTTGCACATTGCTGTTATGATCAATCAGGTTCTCGTTGGAATTTTGTGGAAGCAGGGCTAGCAAGTTTCGGTATTGCTCAGCCGTGAACCCAAACGTTTGTTCCTGGGCACCGTTGCTTGTCTCTCCAGTGTTTGCCAAATTGTCAGAAACCACCACATTAGTTGTCCGACTTGCGTACTTGGGGTTCTTGAATTTGAACCCTGGGGGAAATCCATGTTTCTTATAGCAAACATCTACAGTGTGTCCCATTCTTCCACAGTGCGAACATATTTTTCCAGTCTGCTGTTGAAATTTCTGATGATTACTGCCTTTGTAATTATTGTATTTCCTCAGTTCTTGGTTAGAGCTTTCACTGATGTTGACGAGAATCTTAGAATTTTCGGAATGTTCGACATGGAACTGCCTTTCTTGTTGAGCGATGAGGGAATATACCTTGTTGATAGTAGGAAGGGGATCGATAAGCATGACCTGAGATCTGACCTTAGAATATTGTTCATTTAACCCTTTCAAGAACCTCACCACAACATCAACGTTCCTTTGATTCTTTAGTTTGGTCAGGACACCACAAGTGCACCTCGCATTACATGTGCAAACAGGTATTGGATTCAAAACATCAAGTTCATCTAATAAAATTTTCATACCCGTATAATACTTGGTTACAGACAAATCTCTTTGTTTGAAACTATAGATTTCTTCTTGTAACTCAGAAATTCTGAAAAGATTTGCATGAGACAACCTTTCTTTGAGTTCTGCCCAAACGTCTGAAGCTTTATTTCTCCATATAACAGATCGAGCGATCTCAGAGCTCATAGACTGGATAAGCCAACGGAGAACATAGGTATTACATCGCTCCCAAAAAGGATGAATAGGGTTAGTTGCGTCTGGTTCTGGAATTGTACCATCGATGAAGCCAATGTCAATTCAAATCTTTGCTCCAAGAAAGTGAGAAGATCAATTCTGCAATTGTCAAGGCCACATATTTAGTTGATGGTAATGACCAGATGATATAGATGTGTCTGAGAATTGTCTGAATGAGAGCCTGTTTGACCCGCATCATGGGCAAGATTAGTTAGTTGTTTTCTAGTTGAGATTTTTAGATAACAAAAGAAGTTAGTTGATAAAATATTTTAATATTAATAAATAAAAATATAAATATTTTACTATCAAATTAGTTTACATATTTTTTCAATTTTCATATGTGTTATTGATAATTATTAACTAATTGTAATAATTTTTATATATTTTTATAAATAATTTTTAAAATATTATTTGAGCATTAATTATAAATATTTCATATTAAAAAATATATTTGTATTTTTCTTGATTTATTTTTAAAAAATTATTAAAGTATTAAAGATTTTAATTTATTTTAAGATCATATTTTATTTATTTAAAGATATCTTATATTCAACAAATAAAGTCATTGTGAACACATAAAATTGATTACAAAAAATAATATTTTCACAATTTGTTGAATCAGTTAAAAAAGTTATTATATTTTAAAAAATAAATAAATTTAAACTCAATGTAATATATATATATATATATATATATAATGACAATAATTTAATTTTTTATTTATGTAAATATTTGTATATTATTGAATTTCAAATCTATGTTAATAACTGTATTTTTTTAATAAAAAATCTATTAACATCTATGTCAAATTTTTTAAAAATAGTTATTTAAAATTATATGTATTTATATTTAAGTGCGTATTATAGTATTATAAAATTTTTGTATGAATACCGTACTAAAACAATTTATAAAAAAAATGAAACAGGTGGTAAGTTACAAAAATATATATTATTATATATAATTTATATGGTCCTATTATATATATATATATATATATATATATTATTAAAATTTTTATTTTACTTTCTTATCATTATTTTATAAGTTTTTACTTTTAAATGAAATATAATTCATATTTAAAAAATTTCTATTTATTATAAATAAAAATAATAATGACATAATATATTAATATAATAAATAAATATTATTAATAATAAAAATATAAATATAAAAATATATGAATATAATATTATTACTTTATTTTTAAATTTTAATTCGTTTAGTTTCGATTGTATCTTATTATTATTGAAAGACTTAAATATATTTTAATTTGTTTAAATATAATAATTAAATAAAATTATTATTTAAACACGTCTAATTGTGTATAACTATTTTTAATTTTAAATATAATATAATTTTTATTTATTATAAATATCATTATTATAAAAATTGTAGATAAAAAATATTTATATTATAAAATTTATGAATGAAGAAAAATAACATATAAACATAGTAAGAATTAATAAAATTTATATTTAAATTAAAATAACTTATTTTTTTAAACTTTTATCTTTATAAAAAAATATGTGATAAAATTTAATATAAAAATTTAAATTCAATGCACTATATATGTATATATTTTTTAATTTTATTTATTTCATTAATTTTTTATTATAAATTAACAAATATATGTAAAATTATTTACGCTATAGTATTAATATAATATAGAAAATATTACTGATATAATACATTAAAACATATATTTACATATTATATATAAATTGATAAATTAATTAATAATATGATTTTTTATTTATACTTTTTTTGTTTATATAAATATTTATGAATTATTGAATTTTAAATGTATATTAACAACTATAATTTTTTATGAAAAAATTTATCTACATCAATGTCAAATTTATTAACAATAATTATTTAAAATTTGACATACTTATATTTAAGTGTGTGGCTATGTGCTATAAACGTGGTATCTAAAATAATTTTTATAGGGACGTTTCTCAAAAAATTTATACTAATAAAAATAAAATACATAATAAGTTACAAAAAGTATATATTATTCTATATAATTTATTTAAAATTATATTATATATTTTATTTAATATATGATCCTATTATATATATATATTGTATATTAAATTTTTTATTTTATTTTTCTATTATTTTTTTATAAAATTTTAGTTTTGAATAAAATATAATTCATATTTAAATAATTTCTGTTTATTATAAAAAAATTAAACATAATATATTAATTAAATAATAAAATATTAATAATAATAAAATTAAGAATATAAAAAATATATTAATATAATATTATTATTTCATTTGTAAATTTTATTTCGTTTAATTTTGATTGTGTCTTATTCATGTTCAAAAACTTAACTACTCTTTAACTTGTTTAAATGTAACAAATATGATAATTTATTTTTAAATAAATTTATTTTAAAAAAGTGTAATCGTATATAAATATTTTTAATTTTTTATAGAATGTAATTTTTATTTGGTATAATTATAAATAAAAAATTATAAGATAATATATTAATTTAATAATAATAGAATTAAAAATATAAAAAATATATTATTAAATAACATATTTTGTCAACTTTATTTTTAAATTATATATATATATATATATGTGTGTGTACAAGCTGACATGTCAAACTTAACAAGTTTTGTAAACAACTCACTTGTTTATTTAAACATGCCTTTAAAAAAATCTAAACCTTATTTATTTATTAACCAGACTATTACAAGCCAGATCTAAACTAGGTTAAGCCTCTAAGCTGACTTGTTTATTTAAACATGTTTTTAAAAAAGTCTAAACTTTATTTGTTTATTAAAAAAACTATAACAAATTAGATCTAAACTAGGCTAGACTCTTGTCAAATAGCCTGACCTGTTTTTATTCTAGTATTTGCTCATTTGGTTACATTTCTTTTATTGTTTATTTTAGTTGGTTACATTTTTTTTATTGTTAATCTTAGTTGGTTACATTTCTTTTAGACAAATTAATAAAAATAAAAAGCTCATTCTGGTGTAGTTATGTCTGTATCACATAAATAATTGTTAAATTATGTGTATCTCAAATAAATAAATGTACAATACAACAAAAGTAATAGAACACTTAACAAATGAAATCACAATTATTTTTTTTCTCATAAACAAGATTCAAAGACCCAAAAAATACAAGAAGACCTAGACTAAGAATCTAGACCAAGAAGATCCAATGGAATCACACCTTAAGAAAGGTTCTATCACGAAGTAGAAACATGAGATAGGCTGGGCTTAATGATTAAAATAATATATTTTAAAAATTAATTATTAAAATAAAGTAAACAAAAAGTTATTTTTTATCTAAAATAAATTTTTGTCACATAAACAATAATTTTGTATTTAAATTAGATAAAATTAATTTTATTTATTTTTTATTTAATCATATTATCTAAAAGAAGTACAAAACACTCTATAACTTAACTCGTGTTAATAATTTCATATAAAAATAAAGCAAAACCATGATATTGCAACACTTATCAACGTCTCGTCAAATTTGAGACAAATTTAAGATGGAATCATTAGATATCGATACGTGTGCTCGTATTATTAATTTCATATACATTTGAGATGAATAGCCTACATTTGAGACGAAATTATTTTTACCCGCTGGTCAACCGACTGCGCTGCACCCAACTGTTTCTGATCCCCCGCTGGTTCCATTGTCCAGATGAATATGATCTCTTGCCTTGTGCTTTTTCCCAGTTGTTTTGCTTTGTATAAATGTTATGCACGTGCAGGTGATGCTCGTAACGGGATAGATGTTTTTTTCCCTACCTTCTTCCGGATAAATAGAAGTAATATTGTTTGGTTCTTCACTCCTGCAATGAAGCTCATCGGGTCGCAAAACCTGCAAGGATCTGATAATCTTTAACCAGAAAAGAGTCAAGCATGGATTGAAATTTTAAATATGGATTGAAAGTGTTCATTTTGACTTGAATCCCAATTCTTGAGCCGAACTATAAACCTTTTCGTGAACGGTAAGTGATGGGTGCAGCGATGGCAACAAGGGGATGAGAAACCTTCTCCCCTTAAGCTGGTCTCAGTGAAGTTCGTTTCATGGGTAAAAATAATTTCATCTCAGATGTAGACAAAATTAACGAGACGAGCACCGTGTTCATATCTAATGGTTTCGTCTCAAAATTGAGACAAATTTAACAAGATGTTGACATGTTACAATCTCATAATTTCACTTTATATTTATGTGAAATTATTAATACTGTATCAAGTTGGAGAGTGTTTTGTCTTTTTTTTTAAACGAAATAATTAAATAAAAATAAAAAAATAATTTTGTCTGATTTAAATATAAAATTATTATTTACGTGACAAAAATTTATTCTAAATAGAAAATAAATTTTTTTACTTTATTTTAATAATTAATTTTAAAAAAATATTATTTTAATCATTAAGCGGATGGGCTGTGTGTTACCCGATAATCATAAAAATTCTTCTCCCACTAAGCCGAAACTTTTTTTTATCGGTCAATGCACAAAGATAAGCTTTCATTCCCGATAAGCTACAATGATTTATGGGCTTTTTCAACTGCGCCTGAATGACGAAAAAAAAAAAAAACAGTATTACATTTATATTGAAATTTAAAGAAAAAATTATTTTGTTGACAAAAGAAAGAAGAAATTATTTTTTTAATAAATTATTCTGGACAAATTAATTACTCACGAGATCTATACTAGCACACTCCCAGATTATAGTAACTTTTATCCAAAATAAATTGTAATATTAGTTGGCTTTTCTTTATCAGCATGATTAATTTCACATAAGAAATACATTGAGCTAATATAAAGAGAGTTAACCATGTAAAGAGAACAATCCTCCCCATCTGAGGCTTACTTGCAGACACGTTTTAAGCCATTTTGTCATCTTTTTAATAAAGAATTCATGACGGGAGGAGGATCATTCTTTCTCGTCCAGTTTCTGCTTGGTCCCATCAACTGGAGGCAATGTCTGAATAGGAAAAAGTAAGTTAACAACATTATATCAGAAAGATATTGATCCCCTAAGGTGCACCGTATGCTCTTTAGAGAGGAAGTGTAAGTGATAAAAAATGATGAGAAAATAAAGGGAGTATAATGGTTACATTTCCATGGCTTGTAATCTACGGAAAATTAAAATACATACTGAATATAGAGTACACGAAAAAGAATCTGAATATATCTATCTATCTATATTAATTTGGAAACATCCCAATTATATTCAATGGTTCAAAATTAATTTTATCAAAACCCATAAAATAAAATGGCCCTGCAACTAAAAAATATCTTCATTTGCAAAGTTGGTATAGAGCAACTTGATTTAAAGCAGTATAGACTCTCAGGAAATGTATGAGATACATTGTCTAAATTGTTGAACTGATCCAACATTTGTGGGAAATCTTGCAAGTTGAACTCAAGTTACAGAAACAATATGCTGCACTGTCAAGTAAAGGGTTGGGCACCAACATCTCAAATAAACAACTGGCAACGATCTCCACTGTGCAATACATTTGCAGCATAACTGGAAAACTTATGTGACAATTTGAAATAAATGGAATTTCACATGGTATAGTTTTCACTCAAGCACATGAACTCACCATGGGTTATAAAAAATAGGAAGCAATCAAAATTCCAAGTTCAACAAAGAAAACACGCATGCATTCTGCATTTAATTCATAACACTGAATCAAAAAGGCGCCAAAGAGAAGGGCATGAGAGAGAAAAGCTTACAAGATCAGGCTTATAAATATTGTGGACAACAGAGGCACCAGCAAGAAGAGAGAAAACAACCACCACACAGGACCAAGGCAGAGAAGGAGTCCCAGTTGGCTGCTTTCCACCTCCAAATTTTCGATTCATTCTCAACAAATGCTTATGATTGTATGTGTCACCCAAAATGATTTAAATACAAACTTTGGCCGAGCAAGACCTTCAAATAATAAGACAGACACAATTTCTAAACACTTCAAAAACTGAATACCTTAAAAACAAATAGATGGAGAATAAGCAATAACAAGTGGGCTAGGAATCAGCACAAGCATGCCGTGGTTTAGATATCAAACAAGTTGTGGGCATTGTTTCTAAAGGTGAAATACATGAAACTAACCAAGACATTCCATCAAACAGATGATACACAACACAATAGAAGTAATAAAACACTTAAGAAATGAAATCTCAATTATAAAACTGACTACACATCATTGTTCAAATTAATATACCAAAACATGAGATGGGCTGTGTGTTACCCGATAATCATAAAAATTCTTCTCCCACAAAAGATGAAGCTTTTTTTAATGGGTCAATGAACAAAGATGAAGCTTTCATTCCCCAAAAGCTACAATGACTTATGGGCTTTTTCAACTGGGCCTAACTTTATGACAAAAAAAAAAACAGAACAGTATTACATTTATATTGAAATTTAAAGAAATTATTTTGTTGACAAAAAAGAAAAAAGAAAATATTTTTTATATATTATTTGACTCTAGACAAATTAATTACTCACGACATCTATACTAACACTTCCAGATTATCTCTCATTGTTGGATTAACTACATTATCACTCACACATCTTATTAATATTATTATATATTTTCTTTAAAATATGCTGAATTATATGTTTTAATTAGTTAACTGTAACAGAATATTTGATTGATAGATCACAGTAATTTTATCAATTATTTAATTAATTACATAAAAATTAATCGTAATTTTGTTGAATTGATTCTGTATTTTTTCCAAAACTATATATAAAACTAGTTGGTTTTTTTTATCATCATAATTAATTTCACACAGTGAAAATTAAATTAGAATATTTATGATTTAATTTAACATAATATTTATTTTAAAATAGATTGACTGCTAAAATTATAAAATTAAATAAAATCAAACAATACTTGTGGCTTTTTTCTTAAGCTAAAAACAAAAGAAAAAATAGAAAACTTTCTTTGAAAGACAATATTTGAGACTCGTCAATAAAAAAAATAAATTATAGTACAAGACATAAATATTAGGATTAAATAGCATTTATTGCAGGTACCCACCGCATTCCAGATAAAGGATAGTTTAAAATTTCATCAAAGATATTCTAGTTGGACATGTAGACAAAAGAGTGTAGAATTAGAGACCTTAATAGGTGAAAAGGTGAATTGGTGTATCCTTAATAGGAATAGAGATAATTAGTGAAACTTTTGATATCATATAAGAAGACTTCACTGTGCAGCTTAGCATTAGTGAATATTAAATACGATCCTCTACAATTTGAAAAGAAGCTATATAATTGCGCAGTTTTTTTATTAAATAAACAAAACTAAATTTGCTATAAATGACTAGCCAAACTCGAGAAACATTTTGACTTGCATCTTCGTGGTTTGCTTATATAGAAGTCCTTGAGTGGGTTGAAAGGTCCATCAAATGCTACCACTAATATTCATTCTACTGATGATTTAACATGAAAAATCTTATTTTATGATGAGTTTCATTTTTAAATGTCTAATAAGTATACCCAACTGATTTTTTGTAACAACAGTAGCGATCTAATTAGGTTGAATTTCAGATGCCCAACTAGATAAAATTCTGTGTAATATTATAATATAGACCTGACTATTTGTCATATATATATATATATATAACGTTTCCATTTCTTTGTTGGATCATATATCTGCAATAGAAGGTGTAAAAAAATGGTAACTGGAATCAGAAACTATTTTAAAATTTAAGTTTTAAAATAGTAGCAGACTAGTAATCTTTAGATTAGGAAAAAACATGTACCTCATTCTTCTCTATAGTGGCATCAGCAATTGTTCGTACATCCTCATGCACATCAAAATGAAAAAGTTGTATGTACAGAAAAACAAGTATCATTAACACTGCAAATGACCACAAGATAACAAGGAAACACTATAGTTATGACAACACAAAAATGTTATATATCACTAAGATACTTCATTTGACAAGTAAATTTGAGGCAGCAACCATATAAAAATTATCATTAACTGTTGATTTTTATAATAATTATTTTAAAAAATATATTTACATTTTGTTAATTATTAACATTGTAAAATTTTTATCAAAATTAAACTTAAAATATTAACTGTGATTAATTAATGTATTGGATAAGATACTATTCAGTTGCCACAAGAGAAGGGTACCAAGGAGTATCAATACCTTATCGGCCTCATCTTTGAACAAGAGGTACCAACATTCTTTCAATTTTATTCTTGGCGAAAGGTACCAATAAACCCATTCGGCCTCACTTTTAGATGAAGGGTACCAACACTTTTTCGGTTTCACCTATAGACGAGAAGTATCAACACTCCTTTGGTGACATCAAAATAAATTAACAAGCTAATTAAGGTAAATAACTAATAAAAGAAAGGTTAATTATCTAAACAATCAGAAGGTTAACATAAAGCTGACTCATTAAGCCCATTAACCTAATATTTTATATATAAAAAGGAAAATAAGAAAGATAAGTAAAAAAGTTGACTTCATAATATTTAATAGCATTTATTATTCTATACTAAATACTTGACCGTCAAAGTGTCATTGCAGATATCTTATTCTCTACGGATAAAGAAAATATGAAATATTCTACGAAGACATTACAATAGTATGAAGAGATAAAATATTTAATAGCATTTATTATTCTATACTGAATATTTGACTGTCGGAGTACTATTGGAGGTATCTCTCTCCCACGGGCAAGAAGAATCTAAAATATTTTTTAAAAATGTTACAATAGTATGAAAAGATAAAATTACAATAAATGAGTATATCATTTGTAAAAACAATTAATAACTATTTTTAACTATTTTTTTCTTTTTTAACCATTTAAAAGCTATTTTAGACATCTTTGATTTTTTTTTCAACTGTCTATTTCGGACTAGACCTTTGATATTTTTTTCAACTATTATTAAATACCGTTTCAGAAGAGTCTAGAACATTGTCTTTCTTCTCATTTAAATACTGACCTATCTTGTTTTTTTATTTAAAAAAAAAAAATTAAGACAATACATTTCTCCACAGAGTTTTCTTTTAAAACCTCGTATCATATATTACTTTTTCTATTTTTATAAAAAAAATTGTTAATTTTCAACATAAGTTTTCTGTATAAAATTTTAGCCATATTTTTTATTATTATTTTACACATTTCTCTTCTATCATTAAACTTAAGGAAATTTTTAATTCTTATTATTTAGGTACGTAGAATTTCATGATAATATTAATTATTATTATTATTATTTTATTAATATTATTTTTATCAAATATTTATATTGTTTAAGTTGTTTAAGAGTTAAAAGTAAATTCATTAATAAAGAATAAATTAGTAAGTTTAATAATTAATTTTTAAAAAATGATTATTAAACTTTAATTTTTATTGGTTTTTTTAATTTTTATCTTTAAAAATAAATAAATAGGAACAATACAAGTAATAGAGTTTAACTTTAACTAAGAGCAAACTTAAAATGTTGTAATTAATTTTTAAATATTAATACATTAATTATTTTTAATAACTTTCTTAAATTTATATATATATAGCATTAAATTGCCCAAAATGCTAACATTGTCTAAATCCAATCACCACACCATGAATTCATCATTGTTGACCACCAAAACACGTAACCCCGCATTGCATAGTGACACTATCGTCAATCAAGGAAGAAGCCACCAAATCGCAAGTCAAACCACAAGCCTCTGTGAAGCCATACAATCGCTTCATCAACCTTGTTCTCAACCCTGATGAGTCCCATCTAAAACCAAGACTCTTCACCATTTGTAACTTGCCATAGCCACCACAAACTCTATGATTGTGTTTCTAATTCTTAAGAATTATTAAAACACCAAAAAAAATCCTTAATCTTTTTTTTTTTAATGTCTCTTTTATTTTATTTATTTAAACGAGTTGAGATTTATTGTGCCAAATTAGAATTATGTTCAAACCATGATATTTAAAAGAAAAGTAAAATTCAGTAAAAAAGAATTAATGGCCTGGGTCCCTTATGGGCTTATCCAAAATAATTGGTTCATGTGTACACTAAAAAACCAAAATAACAACTGGTTTACAGGGAATCATTTGATGTCGACTATGAATAATCATTTTATATAAAGATAGCATTTAGGCTTTTGCAAAACTACGATGTTAGGGCAATTGATTTTGTCAAGGGTAGAGACTTTGGCATTCAGAAAAGATTATTAGGATATAGAAAGTCTTCACGTTTGCAGTGAAATTTCAATTCGCATTGTCGCAAAATGTGAATTCAATCATTATCAATTGTACTAATCTTGTTTTTTATTTAGTTCAGTTTTTAAGATAAAATTGACACACTGAACAAAATTGCACCATGCAATGCCAATAATAGCATACCTTATTTGTTATCATTGTTATTTAATTAACTAATGTAATTATTATTTTGGTCAGCCAATGTGTTATATATATTTATAAAAAAATTAATAAAAAATTAATAAAATATATAAAACCTTCCTTTTCATCTAAAAATTTTCAAATAAGTGTTATTTTCAATTAAGCCTTACACTTTTTTCCCAAAAAACCATCTCTAAACATTTAAGAGAAAAGCTGAAACACGGAAAAAAAAAGAAAAAAGGTTAAGGTTAATCTATTTTAAAACAATAATTAAAAAAAGCAAGTAAAATTTTTGCATATATGTGTGAGGAAGTAAAATATAGACAAATTAAAAAGACACGAATCTATGACAAGTCACAATTGATTGACCAGCAAAGGAATGGAACAAAAAACCAAACTTGAAGAAAAAAGAAGATTACAAATCATAATCCTTGAACATATATGTATAATTTCCTCCATTAATAAACTAAGCCTTTTTTGGCAAAGCAAAGGAAGAGAAAATGGATGCTATGGCAGTGAACAAGAATCCAAATAGAAGAAGGCTAGCTGAGGCGTTTGCCTTTCCAGTAAAGGAGTTCATGGTTGAGTCAGCTCTGCGCAGTTCTATGGTGAAACCAAATCCAGCAGCACAACCCGAAAGTAGAAGGTATGATATAATCTGTTCATGCAAATTCAGATTTCAGATATAGTTGTTCAAAATCACAATATATATATATATTAAGCCAATAATATCAATTATAAGTTAGTTTGTGAATATTAAAGATTTATCATGACATGATATACCTTGTCACCAAAGAAATCAAAGAGATAGCCACCATCACCGCTTAATACACGGTTTCCTGAGACCATGGTGAAGAGTGAGAGTGCCAACTGAAGGAGGTTATATGCAAACCCAATCACTATCGTGG